ACACAGGAATATATAAATCCATTTATTCTATGATAAGTCACCATCAGGTCCACAAGTCAAGTCTAGGGTCTTTTTGGAGTTGTATTTTAGAAACTAGAAATGTGTGCTCTCTACTGAATGACCTAGATGCTGCCTTCCAAATTTTCTGAAGAATGCTTTATGTATATTATATGACTTAGTAACTTGGGCCTTTTCTCAGTCTCTAAAAAATTTTAAATGACCAAAATATCACAGTTACCCTTTAAAATTCTCAATTCAAATTCTATATGCAATTACTATAACAACCGAATGAAAAAGTAACTAATGTAAAAATACATTCTAGTGTAAAGGTCTTGATTTATTTGAAGCCATAATTGTTATTTCTGGTAACAAATTATTACAATTGATTGCCTGATTGACTATAATCTCATAGTATTTGACGCTAAAAGTCAATATTTTAGTTATTTACTGGCAGGCAAACATTTATTTGTGGTACTAGTATAAAAATAGTAAACATCTAACTTTTGTTGCTATGAATTAAGTATGAAATTTTAATCAATTTATGAGAAATAAAGCTGCCAATCATGCTTATTAGCCTAGTATTTATGTATCAGGTCTATAGGGTGCTGATACATTTTTAATACTGAAAACAAAAGCAACAAAATAACAGAAAATGGAGTCAGTGTTGCTTCTCTTTAATAATCACTTGACTAGAAACTGAAATGAATGATTAAGCTATAAAATAAATAAGGTCATTTTCTAGGAAGCATTTCCATTCCACCTACCAGATCTTCAAAAGTAGCTACCAAAGGCAAAAGACTATACATCATACATAAAATCAACACTAAGTCTAAATATATTTTATTTTAGTCTGGCCTATGAAAATTTAAATTATATCATCTGAAAATTTCCCTATGTTGACTGTTTATAGAAGAAATGCAAATGATTGGATATATGGCTTAATTATAAATAACGTCAGATAATTTTGGAGTAGTAAAGTATACTTGTACTTTGTCATAAATTATTACAGACATTTTAATAATTTTATTCATTTGAATATCGCATTTTATACAGAATTCTATAATTATAATGGTTAAATAAATCATCTAAGAAGAATAATCAGTGAGATGTTATTCCAGTGAATTTTCTCAGGTAAAAATATTTGCAACAGCTATAAAACCATAGTAATAAATATTTAACATAATTTTCTGATTTAAATAAATATTTTATATCATACAGCATTTTAGGACCTAGATAACACTCTGGTAACAGAACAATAAAAACCATAATTTTCACTGGAAATTTACAACAATTTTTCAAAGATTTAAGAAGTGAATTAAAGATGGAACCATATGCATTTATTTGTTTTGTAATTGTGTTTACTGTTATTAGTTTAACTCAGAGTAGAAGAAAAGACCAGTAATCAAGATGATCAAAGTAGGTAATGCGTATAAATTTAAACAAGAAGAATAAGCCAGAACCTGCTTCACCATGAACACTCTTAGCTACAGAAATGTCAAATGTTGGATACTGTCCATACTCCCTTCATGGTTCATGAAGAAAAGCTCATTTGATTGTTCTTTTTTCCTTTTCACTAAACTTAAGTGATCTTTAAAAGACCAGATCATTTTAATTCTTCAAATGGAAAAGTTCCGCACTAGTGGAAACATTTTAGATCCTTGTAATGATTTGCTACTAAATGTGCCCATGTTAACTTAAATGTCACTCTTGAGTGAACTGAAATTGACATTTTATCTAGAAAATATAGGAAAAATGTTAGGAAAAGTGTGGCATGGGTAGCAGTTGCCACCTGTTTCTCTCTCATGATCAAATGATATTTAACAATAAAATTCAGTAGAATCACATTTAACACTGAAGAAATTAATTTTTAAACTTCAGGGCTGGAATGACACCATAAAAGAATGACAACTTAAAAAGCAAACTAAATCACATTATTTGAAGCAATTAAAAATATTGAATACTGTAACAAAGCAAATATTTACATCTGCTTTTTTATTTGCTGCTTCTTTTCATAAATGTAACCAAATAATACTCCTATTTTCACAAGGACTAAAAATAAAATCTTGGGCTCAGGGTTTACGAATGATGATCACTTCCATGAACCTTTGCTAAATGACCTTTTTCCAATGTGATGTTCAGAGTTTTAGTTCATACATTTACATTTGGTCATTTAACAAGAGTCTGACTGCATCATTGCTAGGAAGATCGATAGTATGAGGATAACTGTCACGACAAGAGTAGACTCTCCATTTCATTCACTGGAAGTAGTTGCCCACACAACACCTACAATACTGAAGTAACGTAAGGAAAATCTCCCAAAGAAGGGATGTTTAAGATCACTCCCATAGGAACAGAGACGCCAAAATATAGACCTTAGCGGGGGAATATTTCTCAGCCAGAGTATAGATCTCATTCCTCCTGCCTCATGAACAGTGCTATTAGAGTCAAAGGATTCTTCAACGATGCTCACCTGACTTTGCCAGCCAGGAATGGGGCGGTGAGATGAGGTCACTTCTACATGATAAACAAGATCATGATAAACCTGGAAATAGCTGTCTTCTGGGAGAGCCCTGACAGTATAAGTAACTAATTTTTGAGAGAATGAACCACCCCTTTGAGTACTTTTTACTTGAGGACCGACTTGGCTGAATTGTGTTTGCCCAGGTATTATCTGAGTTTTTGCCACTGTAAATTGCTATCAACTGAGGAATATACTTTCAAATGAAGTCCTTTATACTTGTTTAAGTTTCATGGGTTCTTCTCTGGACTAAAATCAGCATGTTTGACACATTAAGGAACCTTTTCATCTGGCTTAAGAGTTGAACTGGCCTGAAGGCTAGTTTTCCAGCCATAATGAAAAGCAGCAGATTTCTCTACTTGGTTTATACTGGATTACAGAAATGACAACTGAAAATCATCAGATTGTATTTCATTTTTGACAGTTGATATAATTTTTCTTTTTTGCTCAGTAGCCATGTGTCTTTGGTAGATATGACATCTCTGAAAAACTTCCCGAATTATTTTATTTTGAGACTAGTGAATTTTGTCATTTAAAACAGTCAAACTTTAAACATGGCGAAGGCCACAATAAGGTAAAGAAGGAAAGTAGGTTTTATAGTACCTATATACTCAGTTTTCTACAAAGAACCAAAATTCAAATTAGATGGTCTTTGTTCATAAAACAAATTATATTGTTAGCAGTTTAAGACTATCATGCTGGTGTCACGTGAAAGTGAGTGCTTCACATTTCTTATTTAACTAATCTAGAAAGAAAAAGTTTATAATCTAGAAACAAAAAGATGACCTCGATTATTTACTTTATGGAAAACATATGTGGTTAAAATCAGAATGCATAATATATAACACTGAAAAATAATATATTTGATATATGGTAAATAATATAGAATGTATTTTTTAACATAAGGTTTATTATGTGAATCTTACATCTGACTATAGACCATTTGAATTCTAACTCTCATTCAAGTATTGTCTTTTTGTAGCTTTATTTCTTCCAGATATCTCAATCGTTCTCCATAAATATTTTCACCTTATTGTGAAACTGACTACTTGAAAGCAAATGTTCTTCGATATGAGATATTAGAAGGGAAATCTTTGAAGTCAAATATATTGAATGTTTTTCAATACCTCAGAGCCTGTGAGAATCAATTTATTACTGAGCAATACCAACTATATATAAAAATATCAAAATAACCACTAATATTTTAGTGAGATGGTGACTTTAAATTGCAGGGAATATATGTTTTTCTTGCTTATTCTCACTTATTCCTACAGGTAAAATCCCATTAAATAAAATAGGAATATGTGTTAATAAAGCATTTATTTAAAGGCATGGCCTTGCAATAACTTATTCTAAAGCAAAAATATTCTCAGAATTTTTAAGAAGAGCGACTCACTTTTAAATGACATCGCTTAATCGAATTATCCTCAATTATGATTATATGACTATCCTTTTTTCTCCCTCCCAGTTCTATGAGCAAAATAATTATCCAGTAGTTTACAACATGTGTAATTTATCTTATGATTATAGTAAATGCTCATTCTGTCTATAAACACTTATTGAAGAAGCAAATAATTGATCACCACCCAAAAAACTAAATATAGGCAATACTGTCTAATTTGAGATGATCTCTTTCTCTCTCTAGAGCTCTTTCTTGCTGTCCAATTACTTGACATCTTATTAAATAAAAGAATGGTATTTTTTGTTCTATTTAAAAATAAAAGTAGAGTTATAAAATGCAGAAGGATTCAAAATGATTGCCTAAAGGGAAATTTTGACTAAATTACTTCCCAATCTCTGTACTTTCAGTAGAAAGCTGCAAATGTGTAAAACAATGACTGCTAGACTATTAGGTTAAATGCTTCCCTCAGCTCCTATCTGGCCCTCTCCATAAGGTTTTCTTTGCCTCTGGGGCTGGTAACTAGTAACCATGTGGTGTTTAAGGAATCCACTGTAACTCAATATAAAATATTACATAATCCTTGTTGTTTTCCTACACCTTGCCCCTACCATCTAAACCATCCCTTTATTAAACTCTTTCAAACTATTCTGAGTGCTCCATCTCTTTTCTGTTGAACCCTATTACAGTTAGTTCTTACTTATGTCTTCAGGAAAATTCCACTAATAAACCAGGTTTATATATAAACAAAGCATTTATTTAAAGACTTGGACATCTAGTGTATCAATGATGCTATAACACAAAAATATAATGCTTAGTAAATGTCTGAATCATTTACATATTGATGGAATGTATTTAACAAGAAATGTCTAGATATAACTACTATCCAAACATGTTTAGAAAGATTTCTGACACACATTAATATATGAAGTCTACTTTAACTGAAGGAAATATTTTCAATCATTTCTATAAAATTATTGAATTGCTTATATGAAAGCACAAAACAAATTAGATATTCCACTTCAAAAATTTTCAAGAACATAATTTGTTTTTACAAATGTGTATGTAAAGAGAGATATTTACCTTTTCACCAATTTCTCCTTTGCTGCCTTTAAAATCTTGTTCTCCCTGCAGGAGAGAAATGTATATAAGAATAGGAAAACTACTTTTAACACATATAATTATTATAGTAATAATGATAACGTGTCTAACACTGAAAAAATCAATAATTATAAAGACCATTTCTAATATGTAAGCTCTAAACCAATATTAAGTTATATAAAATTTAAATATTGCTAAATACCGAAGGGACAATTTTCTAGGGTACAAGCAGCTCCACTACTTCCAATGCAATTTAATCTCCATAAAACTTAATTTCTCCATATATAGTACCTTTCTCATAGATGTTTTGAGAATTGAAAGCATCAACAGAGTGTCTAGCACAGACTAAGTCAGCCATTATTGTCATTAATAGTATTTATTTCACTAGATCCAGTAGAAACTTCCTCCTCAAACTGACTTCAACAGAACACTGTTCCAATGAGAGTTGCATGAGGGATAAGTTCGGGTTTGAACTCCAGAGTTCTGGCTCCAGCTCCGACACCAGAGTCATGCTCTTCACCACCTACCTCTCAGCCACAGGAAGGGGACTGGCTCCCAACCAACCACCATATTTATTCTAAAAGGTATAAGTCCCCTTTTCTTCAGCTAAACCCTCTCTGATCTGACAAGCTTATTTTCCCACTTAATTCTGCACAGATATTTATACTACTGATGTCTTATTATACAGTCAACAAATATTTATTGAACACCAAATACATGTCAGACACTTATGACAACATAGCCAGCAAGTAAGTCTCCAGGATGGGTCATATTCGCCCCTCCACCCCTAAGAAGCACTCAGTAAACATTTCCTGAGTGTACCAAGACAAGGATGAAGGGTTTCTTATCTCTAGGTTTTTTTCTGTAATGCTTCAATGAGGCAACACTTAATATGATTAAAATTTGTGCTTTAAAAAAAGAAATGCCAGCTTTTTATTATATGTATAGTCTCCTTGTGTATACTCTACATGTAATACATATAATCAAATATATGTATTCGTGTATATGTAAATATACAAACATTATTAAACAATTATTTCTGCTTCATCTACCCTCAAAAAAAGGTATCATGAAAGAAAATAGGTTATTATTTGGGTATATATGCCACTGAATGCATGTTCTATCTGTTTTTCTACCATTTTTCCTAAAATATAGACTTTAACTTGATCTGTTAATTCAAGCTGACATCGAAGCCACTAAACACGCCTAGTACATTAGCCACAGTGAGAGCATGATGCAGCCACCACAAACAGCTGCTGGAAAGTCCAAAACTATTTCCCAACAGATAAATCTGCACATCCCTTGGCTTGCAACTCGACTCCCAGATGCAGCACATGCTGTATCAATGGGTTTTGTCTAGAATTGCTGTGAAAAAATTCAGAAGCTGCCATTTCACCACCGCTGGTTCAATCTTATTATCTTTATCAAGCCAAGTAAAGGAAGATTTTTCAAAAGTTATATCTATTAATAAGTGCTTATCTTTCTTAGTGGTAATTTTTAGATACAAAGAAAAACCTAGATGTAATAGTAACTTCTTGACATCTTGTTGCTAAGACCTATAAAACCTCTCCAGAGCATAGAAATGATGTGCTTGGCTACAGTGGGCATCTACAATTGCATTGATAATGCTCTCCCCTATGGTGGGATTATCTAGGTGGTATAATGACAGCTGGCCCCTACCTCTCCAGGAAATTGGAAAAGACCAGTCTCTGTGTTTCTAGTAATGCTGGTCATATATACCAATATCCCTTCCCAAGAGGAGAAAGCAGCCCTTGGACAGTAAAAGGGTACAAGCAAAGCTCACCTTGGTTAAGAGAAAGATACTAGGCACAGAAAGAAGGAGCCTAGCCAATGCAAAATTCTCTATTTATTGTAAATTTATCTTTTTGAAGAGATTAGTTGTAGCATCTTTATAGTATTTAATATTTTATGTCATTGTAATTATTATGTTTAGCTCAACCTAGAATATACAAAAAGGAAGATAAATAAGAAATAACCAAATATAGCCAAAGGTAGTAAAAACTGTTCCATTATTCACTTTAGACTGACAAATAACAGTGAAAACATTTCTAGAGCAGCTATGTACACTCCCATGGCCCCCAGCAAGCACAACTGTTGAGTTCTCTGGAGGAGAGAGTTGCAAAAGCTCTGAGAAAGCTGTCTCTTAGAATGGTTGGCCCCTTTGAGAAGGGTTTGCTTCCATGGGTTCTTTTTGGAAAGATCTGTCAGTGGCTTTCTGAAAGAGGCTTTCTTCCAGGAAATCAAGTTTCATCAAATACATTTTCTGAACCTTTACCGTATTATGTACAAATTCCGTTTTTAAGATGTTAAAATTCTTATATGAAACATTCAAAAACTCTTTACCTTTTTGCCAGGTAAGTTTGGAGCTCCATGTAAACCATTTCCACCCTAAAAGAATAAATGTTATTAGCCATTAAAAAAAAATGAATAAAGAAATTTTTTGCGGTCCTTAACAACTAACTAATGTTGCAGGGAAAGATAGCCTATTACTGAATGTCTATCAAGTGCAGGGGCTTTCCATCTGTTCCTTGTCTCACAAATAAAGGACTAGTACTTCCATTTATCAAAGAAGAAAGCGGAGACTCTAAGAGGTTCAGTAACATGACCAAGGTCACCCAACTAGAGGCATTACCTGAGATTTGAATTGAGGTCTCTGACTCCACAGCCCATATTTTCCTATATGCTATTTAGTATCCCTTATTTCATTTTCTCTCTTTCAAACTTCTGGGCATATTAAAGTCTGACATAGGCTTTCTATGAGCCAGGGACTATTCTTACAACAAATCTGTAATCATCTGTAATTATGTTATTACAGATGATTACACAATCAATTGGAGATAGAACTGAAATTCGAACTCACACACATCAGCTCTGTGCACCTAACTATCCTACATTCACTCATGGAAAAGATTTAATTCTGGCTTCTAAGTGATCTCTTGCCTAAAAACTGAAGCTAGCTAGCTAGCTAGCTAGCTAGCTATCTGTCATCTATCAATTATATATCATTTATCTACATATATATATATACACACACACACACATAAATGCATATTTACTTTCTTGCTTTTATCTGTTGAATGCTTTTAGATCAATTTTGAAGACATACTCAATGTCATTTTACTTGAAACAATTACTTGGGAGAGGTTTTAGTTGCTTCCATTCATCTGATTTCTGTCTTGGGTAAAAAGGTTTCTAGCACATGCACATCAGTTTCCATTACTGGAACTCATGGATCATCTCTTTGACAAGTCTGGTTTGTGGCACCAGCACACCAGCTAGAATAAGATACTCCTGGGAGGATGTGCATATTCTCGATGGAGGCTTAGGAATTTACCTGCCTATAGGAATTGACTTTAGCTCCTGAGTCTCCAGGTTTAGACAAGTTAAAATAAACTCACAATCCTACTGACCTGCATTATTTCTAGCAAACATTTATAATTAATTTATAAGGCAACAGTTTTTTGAGTATTACCTAGAATAAAGTTAGATATCATTTCTCAGAATTCCTTATATAAAATTCAAATATACGAAGAAAACTATCACATCTTTGAACCTTAAAGTAAAAATAATACAGTATGTCTAATTCTAAAGCAGTCTTTATTTTTCATTAATTAATTCATTTTTGGAAAATTTTAATCATTTTCATCAGAGGTGTGCTGCTGTATACATGCACACATATTTTAAAGGCTTATGCTTTTCTTATCTAAGTGTTCCTCAGTATAACTGCTATCATCATACTATATACTAAACACTAAAGGCAAAACTTTGTTGCTAATGTAATTAACTACTGAAGCATCAATAAAATATAATGTACTTATCTATGTAATAAATATTTGTATTATTAAAATTTTTTGTTATATTTCCAGACCTCAGACATCACACAAACATATTAGAAACTTCCAATTTCATTTGATCAAGTAATAGTAAAAGCGCATTTGATGGCAGGGAACGTTGCATGGAAATTAATATTCTGCTACTCATTGCTGAAATATGTTCACTTGTCTATAAAGAGAAGAATTATTTTCATCAGGTGGTCCAATATAATGTTTTACATCATATTACAAGTTACACATAATAGCAAGATTTAACATGTAATCCAGTAACAGACACTGATACAGTATACATTGCCAAAAATATTTTTGGAAAAAAAAAAGTAGTGACAATATCTCCTCTTTTTCTTTGCTCACAGCCCCCTCCTAGGTCCCATGTGCTCTGAGTCCTGGCACCTAAAATCTGACCTTTAGCATATGTCAGGTTAGGGTTACAACCAGACAAACTGTTAATTGGGTACTAAAATTCTCTAAAACTGTGATATTAAGAATTCTCTCTTTAAAAACCTATGTTTAATAAACATGGGTTTTTTGTTGCAATTTAAATGTGTTTTTCTATGGCCAGTGTTATTTGGTCTCTGCTCTTTCTTGACTAAAAATTTGTAAACATAACTCTAAACTCCAAGATAATCCAATGGACACCACTGCTTACTCTGATAGGATATGAGTCAGTGTCACTGTCACACCAACATGTGGAAGACTCTGAGATACTGTTGAAACTTTTGAAGCTTAAAGTTTACAACTCTAGTATTCAGAAACATATTTTTCTCCTCACCGATTTTCTTGAAGTTACCAGAGATGTCTTACTTAGAAACTTATAATCATTTAAAATTGTTTGTCATTTTTCTACTCCTCGAGGGATAACTTAGCATATTTGTTTTTGTTTCTATCTCAAAAAAAGATTTATTAACTAGTAAAAACTAAAAAAGAAAATAGTCTTTGAGAACAAAATGCTGTCTAACAGATGATGCCTCTGTCAGGACTTTATTTAAAACCTAAATTATGTCAACAGAATGAGCCCTCCTTCATGCTCACTCTGAAGTGCAGTTTCAAAGCTCTGGTGCCCCATGCACATTGGATTAAATTAAATTCTACACAATAAATGGCTGCCTAAGATTACTGGATGGGCAGATATTGGTTGCTTTGTCTGAACTACATTGTTCCTCCTTCCTCTCAGTCTCACTCGGCATGTGGAAAAAACAAGAAGCTTCTCCTCTGGCTTCCAATCAGTGTTTTAGCCCATAATTGAAACAAAATTATCATCGATTTTTCCAACAGCAACCAAAACTTTTAAAACTTGTTTCTGAGGCGTATGCTTCCTATTACAGGATTTCCATCAAAGACCCTGTGTCTCCTGTTACGAATTCAAGCTACAGATGGGCAAATGAATAAATGAATAATGTAAAGCAGGGCAAAATCTTAATGTTGCTGCTGATAGCACTGCTACCATGTTATTACTGTAATACCGAGCATGTCTTCAACTTTATGGAGCAATCAAAAGCATCCTTTCTAGAATTCAAAGTAATCCTTTTGAGAAGATTTTGGGCGGGGGGGCGGGGGGAACGGGTATAATATAGGGCTAGCTGGTGGCTTTCTGAAAAACCGATTGAAGTACTTCATTTTACCTCCCTTTTATCACTGCACATTTCCTTGAAGTAAATACTGCTAGACATAAAAGATAAATTAATAGTTTTCCTGATTCCTTTGACACTGGAATCAATGTCTTATTATGCAGAGAATACATGTTGTCTGAAGGACACTTGATAAGGAATCACACTCCCAGAGCTATAGTTTATAAAGCTAGTACCAATGAGACCAAGCAAAGAAAAGTAGATTAAGTAGTAAACAAAAATTTGCTAATAACTAGATCTAAACTCAGAAAATGGAAAGTTATGTACTGGGTTGTGTTGTTTCTTTTCTTTAAATAGGCATTCAGCTTTTGATTAAAAAGTCTAAGATCCTATTATAACATTGTTTCTATATTTAAAAAATTAATGTGACCTATCATTTCGCATAAAATATATTTTCCAGGAACATAATCTTTTGTATGAATTTAGTGTACGTTTGGAAATATATCAATATTTTACTACTAATTCATATTAATTAAGAAAAAATTTACTTTAATGTTAATGTTGAGTAAAATAGTTGGAAGAAACATCTGAAATGGAATTCTAGAATTTTAGCATAAAAGCCAGTAAAAGAGGTAGTCAAAAGTAAATCTGATTCTGATTTCATGTATCAGTAACTTGACTTCTACATTTTTGACTACAGTCTTGCTTTATTCACTACATAATCTTTGAAAATTTAATTTTTATATGGTTCTTAAATTGTTGGCACTAGAATATTTAGGGAAATAAAGTATTTACCCCTTATTTTTTCCAGATATCTCATACAATTTTATATCAAGGAAGAGTTTTTGAATTCTTTATATTTGCTAAATCTTTAATGTAGCTAATACATAGGGATACATTATTACATTCATGCTCAGGATAGACAAATTTAAAACATTCTTAATCATAAAATAAATAAGAACCTATTATTACTTATTTTTATGGGTCATTTCAAAGAAGGGGAACCCACCACACCAAATGTAACGTATGCTGATACATGTCCTAATCATAGTAATGTATGTATGGGGAGTTAGTAGTAACAGAACTCAACATCTAGTATTTCAAAACCTTCTAACTCAAGTGTGTAATCACATGCAGGTGCCCATACCTAGGAAACAAGAAGGATGGCTATTCTTGATTATAGGGACAAGTAGAAATTCATACACTTATATTTACCACCTCCACAAAAGAATCTGTTGAGTACTGACTCTACTCCAAGCTTCTTAAAGTTAGGTATTTTGCTGTTTAATTTGCATTGTGGAGAGCAAAACAAACAAAAATTCTAGGTGTGGATACTAAAACAATGTTTTCTGAACTCAAATTAACCTTCCTCAAATTTCTGCCCATTGGTCTTATTTCACACAGGAAAAAAAAATCTATGAGTCTTACTGTACATGACATCCCTTTGTGTCACTATCAAGCCTTCTATTCAGTAAATTAATTACTTTTTAAATGATAGTTTGGGTATTTACCCCCCAAAAAACTGAAAACATTTATCCACAAAGATATATGCACCCCAATGTTCACAGCAACATTATTCCTGGTGGCCGAGACATGGAAGCGACCAAGGTATCTTATGATGACTGCATAAAGAAGATGTGTACATATACACAATGGAAGATTACTCAGCCATAAGAAAAGGTGAAAAACTGCCATTTGCTACAACATGGATGGATCCTGAGATAATTGTGCTACATGAAATAAGTCAGATAGAAAAAGTTGAAAATCATACAATTTCACTCATATGTGGACTATAAAACTGAAAGCAACAAACAAACATAACAAACAAACAAAACGAACAGAGAGTCATGGACACAGACTGTGGAGTAGTGGTTACCAGAGTGAAGGAGGAGGGGAGAGGTAGATAGGGGTTAAAAGGGGTCAAATATTTGGTCACGGAAGAAAATCTGTTTGGGTGGTGAACACACATGTAATACATATGACAATG